TCATCACTGCGCAAACTGCGAAATAAAAAGAAGCAGTTCTACATTGCAGCAAAACATTCATCCAGCGCGTCTTTCCTGGGAAAGGTAAAAGACATGCCTGAAAGAATATTCATAAGCGATAAGTTCCGCCAAAAACAAGTACTATTCACATGACCTACCCTCCCTCTTGCACTCAAACCCTGGAAAGTTCTGGAAAACCATATCTTCTGGAAAGGAATCGCGACAAATCTTTGCTTTCAGTTACGACAATGCACCACTAACGGATGAGCAATGCTCACACAAGTTCAACAAATTTTTTTTGTCAGTATTTACTTAAGAAGAGCACCTAAACATGCCTTATGTTCCAGATTTAGGTTACCCTTATATGATGCCAATAATGGTCACTGAGGATGGAGTTGTGTGTCTCATAAATAAGCTTAATCTATCAACATCAGTGGGTGTAGATAATTTAAATGCTAAGACATTGAAAAATACCCTACCGGTTTCAAGTGAAATACTGTGAAGAATATTTAATCAATCATTGTCGACCGGACAACTACCTAAAGACTGGAAGGTTGCCAGGATTATTCCGGTATTCAAAGCTGGAAAGAAAAATCAACCATATAACTACCGCCCCGTTTCCCTAACTTGCATTTCCTGTAAAATTCTAGAGCACATAGTTGCATCGCACATCTACCACCACCTAGAGAATAATAATTTCTTTTTAAAAAATCAAGATGGATTTCGTAAAAATATGTCGTGTGCTACGCAATTGCTTGAACATAATACTGACTTGCACTTTAACATAGACAACAATCTACAAACCGATAGCATTTTTCTTGACTTTTCCAAAGCTTTTGACCGGGTGGCCCATTATCGATTGTTTTCCAAATTAAATTCCATCAAACTGGACTCTGCTAGCTTATCTTGGATTAGAAATTCCTTATCATCTCGCCAACAATTCACCGTGATTAATAACTGTGTTTCTCCCCTAGCTGATGCAACATCCGCAGTCCCACAAGGTAGCCCTCTAGGCCCTTTACTCTTTCTTATTTACATTAATGGCCTGCCCAATAATATTTCCTCAGGTATTAGATTGTTCGCTGATGACTGTATCATTTATAGAAAAATAACATCTCCCAATGATCACCACATCCTGCAAAATGACATTAACCTTATAAGTATGTGGTATCAAAAATGGCTCATGGTATTGAACTCTAGAAAATGTAAACTCATTTCTTCCACCCGCAAACAAATGAACTCTGATTTTTTGTACGTCATTAACAACTCTGTCATATCTCGTGTTCAGTCATTCAAGTATCTAGGGATAAACTTGACTCACAATCTTTCATGGCACCCCCACATTACCGCTCTCTGTGCTAAAGCATTACAAACGCTTGGATTCCATCATCGTGACCTCTGTAAATCGCCACCTAACATTTGCAAGTTAGCGTACCTTACCTTCAATCGCCCACAGTTAGAATTCGTGTCATCTATTTGGTCCCCTTATCAAGACTACTTTATTAATAACTTAGAGCTTGTTCAAAACCGTGCCGCTCATTTTATTACCGGAAGTTACGAATGGAAATCTACTATTTTTTATATAAAACTCGAACTTTCGCTGCACTCTCTTCAGGTTCGCCGTGTGTTTCCCTTTTATGCCTGCTTCATGGATATGTTCAAAACACCAGGCCTCATTCTTTCCCTCTGGAAACCCCACTGCACATGTCTAGGCGTCTCCATAATCAGAGCAGTTTCGAGAGCATCTTCGGCAATACGGGGGCGCTTAATTGTTCTGTGCTGCCACACGCCATCCAGCTTTGAAAAAATGCCCCGCCGTGGTGGTCTAGTGGCTACGGTACTCGGCTGCTGACCCGTAGGTCGCGGGATCGAATCCCGGCTGCGGCGGCTGCATTTTTGATGGAGGCGGAAATGTTGTAGGCCCCTGTGCTCAGATTTGGGTGCACGTTAAAGAACCTCAGGTGGTCGAAATTTCTGGAGCCCTTTACTACGGCGTCTCTCATAATCATATGGTGGTTTTGGGATGTTAAGCCCCACATATCAATCCATCAATCAACTTGGAACAATCTCCCTGGCGATACCACTTCGATCACAAATCGCATAGCATTTCACTACCGCCTACTTGAACATTTCAGGCTTACGTAGTAATTTCTCATTTATTCGCTCTAGATGTGTTATCTTATGTTTTAAATTGTTTAACATTGTATTATGTCACATTGTAGTATTGTAGACGCTGCCACAATTTTCTTCCTTTTTCAACACTGACCGTTCATGTTAATTAAGTTCGTGTTTTGTGCACGCCCTTCCTTTGTTTAGTCTTTCTACTGGGGTGTTACTCTTGCTTTCATCACAGTGCACTATCTGGATTGTATCGTTTTGATTTCATCTTTTTCTATATTTATCACATGTCATATTTTACTAAGTATCGCCTCCTTTACACAATGCTCCGATAAGGAGCCTGTAAGGTATTGTGAATAAATAAATAAATAAATAGTAATGTGTGCCTGCCAATTTATGGCATACTAATTTTTTAGAAATCATGAAAGTTGCACATATATTCAGATGTACTGTATTTCTTATATATTTTAAGGGTAAAACGGAATCTTATTGAATCTGTTTGTTGCTCTTTGGCCTGAGTGTCCCTTGCACCACTAAAATCTACCATCATCATGAATCTTATTGCACCTTTCATGCAAAAAATGTAGCCTGTCTGTTATGTAAGACCGGAACTACGCATGACAAGGAAGTGATAAAATCTGAATAAAGGGGCACTGAAGCAGAATAGGGTCAGGAAAACCAGCAAGCATTCTGAAATGCGCTAGTAGACAACTTATTTTTTTGGGTGTAATGTGTCATGCTTATCTGTTCCTTTCTTAATTTATAAACAAGAGCGAAAACCTTTTTTGCCTGTCTGTAACAAGATGCACTGCAGTGGCTGCCTCTGAGTTTTATGCTTCACAGAGGAAGAAAAGATTGATATTGCAGTTCTCTCGTGCACAGCTTATAATAAACAGATATGCACCAAAAACCACATGTAAAGGCAAAGCGATTTGCTGTCACAAGTCAGAGACTTGCCGATTTTCACGAGAACACATGGCCATGATGCACTTTCATTCAAATTTTGTCATATCTATGTCAATGGTAGTTCCGGTCTGGCGTAACAGAGAGGCCGCGCTTTCTGCATGCCAGGTGTCATCAGTTTCAATTTCACCTTTCAAATTTGATTATGATTATCTCAAAGTACATGCAATGTTTGTGATTTCTAAAAATCGGGTATGTTATAAATTGGCACTACAACTTTCTAATATAATTTGCCCTTAAGTCAATAAATAAATAGTTAATAGGTTTTTGTTAGTTAGTCTCATGAATGATTTGGTTCTGGCAAAGTATCTCTGCTTCAACACAGTGTATGTGTGTGATAATTACTGGAGCGTGACTATTATCGTATTTACTTGCATAATTTGCACACTTTTTTTCATGATTTTGGGGCCCCGAGAAGGGGGTGTGCAAATATACATGGGGATGTCACGAGCGCATATAAAATATTATGTCGCAGTCTTAACGTGTGCAGTATATATATTAAGAAAAAAAAATAAATTGGAGCACAAATAAAGGGTACTTGTTAATTTTGAAAGAGAAAGCACATACTTTAACCAGTCAGATCTGGTCACGAGTAGTCTAGCGGGAATCACTGATTGCGAAGTCTGATTGGGAATCATAGTTGCGGCCGCTGCCACCACCTCCGCCTCCACCCCACCCCGCAGTTCCGTCGAGTGCACTCGAACGCCCGATTTTCTTGAAGATCTTTCGACAATTCTGGGAGAAACTAGGTTCCATGACCCGGTGATACCATAAGGACTAAGCATCTGCACGTAATTGAAAAGTCCTCATGAATGGCAGGGAACTTGCATTAGCAAGCGCACACTGTTTTGCTTTCTTGCGTACCAATCGCGACGGTTGTCATGTTAAAAACGTCCCATTGAAGTGCTTTGCGTTATCACGCTTCCCGTTTTCTTCGACAAAATTTACAACAGCGAGCTTCAATTTCATCGTATATATAATTACTGTAGCATATCGCAAGGGAATCATCAAAACGCATTGGCCGGATGGCAAAACCTAAGCTTCCAAAATCGACCAAGTGTCCGTTGCAGCGCGGATGCAGAAAATGAGGGGAACAGTTGGCGTAACAGGGCCTCGCACACCTCTGATGCAGAAAGTCGTCCGTGCCGTGATGCGAGTGCGCATTCTCACCATTATCGCGGTGATAGTGATTAGGAGATAGGGGGAAGCAAACGCACGAGCAGCTTCGGCGACTTGTCAACAGGTTTGTGTTCGGGTGCGGTATTTAAGGGACCCTATGATTCGGGAGAAGTCCTCAGAAAAAGGGACTTTGCACTCGCAGCTTGTTTGACTGTGCTCATCTTCTCGGTGAGGCGCTCACCCGGCCGAAGTATCGAAAGGTCCAAAGGTGTGTGCGCCGGCGAGCTGGCTCAGGCGGGCCGGGGAGCGAAATATAGGAGTAAATATTTTTTTCCTGAAATGTTGGCAAAATATCTGGGGTGCGCAAATTATGCACATAAATACGGTATATAACTTTTATTTTGAAAATCTATATAGTCTCTAAAAAAAAGTACCCTGTATACGAATGTGTCATGAAGCAGAGCATTTATACCTGTTTCTTTAAGGCACTAAATGCCTGGTATAAATATATTGTTACGTTGAAATATTCAGATTTGAAATATTCAGATGAAAAGCAGTATACAACTTTGTTTGTATGCTTTCATGAAGACCTTGAACAAAGACAAGCAGATTTGAAGCACACTTCATAAATTTTTTAGCTTTCAGTTTGATGGTCACTTCCTGGTGTGTGTGGAAGACCTTTATTTTTCCTGTGTTTTTTTCTCATAAATTTGTTTGTGGTCATATGTGAAATTATTTTTGTTGCAGTTTTGTCATGTGTAACTCTTATATTGTCTATGTTTACGCCCTTTTTTTCCCAGCAAAAAGGAAAAGTATGTATTCATCATGAGTAGGTGTAGAAAGTAGCAACAGTCTTAAGCCTACATTCATTTCTTTCTTTTTAAACTGTACCTTCTAATTGTGATGCTTTTTTTTTCATTCTTGACAGCTCAAGGCTCGAGTATGTATCGTAGTGTAGAACACACATTCCTAATGTCTCTGTGAATTAAGTCATATTTTCACCAGTTTGTTTTATGTGGTTGAAAATTCATGTAGTTACACCAAGTTTGATTTCTTGAATTGTTTATAAATATAGAATTCTTTGAACTGTCATTACCCTTGGATGTTACAGCATTTTTAAAGTGTCAGTGCTTGCATGAAGGAAAGTGCATGAAGTGTTTGCATGATGGTGTTTGCAGGATGTATTTGCATGAAATGTTCATATTAAGCATCTGCATGGAGTGTCAGCATGAAGTGTTTGCATGAAATTTTTTTATAAAGCGTCTTCATGAAGTGGTTTACATGTTGTCAGTCATTCAGCTAAAATGGGAATTAAAAGCTCCTTGTGATAATTGTGATAGCATAGCTTAATTAGGTGCTTAAAAGTTGGAATACTATCCTTGGATCATGCATGCACTAAATACTAACAGGTGTCACAGCTATTGCACAAGTATAAGTATTTTAAATAGTCCTTGTTATTAAATATTCGTGATCACTGAGTCAGCAGTCTCTGCAGTTTTTAGCATATTTCGTTGAGCTTTCTAACATGATTTTTCAGTTAAATATAGTTTTATTTATTTTACAACCCTCATTGTCAAAAGTGCATTATTCGGAGAACAAACAGTATGAAACTAAATTTCTTCACATCAGAACAGAATTCCTAAGGCAGAAAATGAATGTTAGAGTTATAGGAGTTCTGCGTGCAAGACTTGTACAGTATAAGCCAATTTTAATTCTATTGCATGAAGTGTAATTAAAATTAGTACAGACTGAGGTCGTGCAAGGCTCGGTCACAGCAGAGCTGGCAGGCACCTAGCTAGTCCTGGCTTGACCAGGCTTTTACCACCTCACCTTTCTCTTCCCCACCCTTTGCTATACTATACTATATGTGGCTATGTTCGATCTCTTTTTTTATTTACTTCACCTATTACATGTCTATGACAGACAGCAATCCTTGACCATATATATGTGCTAAAAATTCAGCAGATCACACAACTCAAAACACTGGTCTTTTAAAAGTTAAGAGGGAACACACTGGTGGCTAGTACTGATTAAGATTTCTGTACAGAAATCATTGAGGGAGACTGAAACACACTGTTGGGATTAAGCCAGTGATGAACAACGCGGACATGTTTCAGCTTCTCTTGTTAATCATCTTTACAGAGCGTGTGGGCGGCGATTGACCATGTAGTGTCTCATGATAGTGATCATTTTCTATCTGCATCACACTGCGAAACACGACCATAACAGTTCTACTGTTAAAAGTCTACAGCTCCTCATGCAGCGTGTGAATGAATTTGTCATACTTTGGGCTGCTTGATTAGTTCAAAAGAAAGGTGGTGGTTGAGCTGAAGGGCATTATGATGAAACATAACACGGAATCCTGGCACCATAGTAGAAATTTTGGTACAGTAAAGTGCCATCACAAATGCAAGTCTTTCCTATATGCAGTGCATTTATTGTGTTGCATTTGCAACAGTGCACGTATACACAATTTAAGCAGTACAGTACAGTAATACTCTGAAGTCATTAATAATGTTAGCATGCTGTTCATGCACCATGTTGTACATTGCAAACTCGCCAAGTTTCCAAATCGTTCCTATCCTCAGTGCATACGATGCATGCTTCATAGATTCGCCGGTTACTCTTAATATTCATTGCACATAGTTATAAATATATTACAATTTGGAAGGCCCAGGCCTCATCTTGCCTAAGTGCATCGATATAATGATTATTAATTTATGTTTTTCAATGGTGCTCCCTTTTAAAGCCATGGCAATCAGCAAGTCGCTATAAACTGAAGGCAACTGTTCTGTTCTGACTAAACTTTCAGGCCCTGACCATCACTCACATATTTTCACTTGGGTATTTGCATTATTCATCGACATTTTAGTCATAGAATCAAGAGAGTCCCAAGAAGTTAACATTGCCAGAGTTTGAATTAACAGCTGTAGAGGTACTGATAGCCTCTTAATAACAGCTTGTGAATACCTCTGCAGCCAGACTTCAGCATGCTTTGTAAACATTTTTTTTTTGTCCTTAGGATGAAGATCTCAAGAGGACCATTGAGGAAAGTGCCCAACTTCAAAGAGCGTATGAGCGATATTTCGACACAGTGCTTGTGAACAACAATTTCGAGAAGACCTTCGAACAGCTCAAGGATGTAATTGATTCATTATCAACAGAACCTCAATGGGTTCCCATTTCATGGGTTTACTGAGATTGTCCTTTTGTTTCGTTTGACAGAGTTCACACTTAAAATAATCTGGTTTTTGTTGGTTCAATTGAAAGAATTCTATCAACAGTAAGAAATTGACGATCCAAAAATATTTTGCAGAACTTAAAAACCATTCCTTGATATGATGAGTCGATGCTCATTGTTTATGCTTAATGCTGAGGTTACGGTATACAAGAGGAGACTCAAAGTAATGAAAATTTTTTTCTTCAACTAGGTATCATATTTATTCTAACATTCCCAAGCATCATTCTGCTTAAGAGCCGTCTCTAATTAAAAATGGACTTGTGCACTGCTTCACCTACTGTTAAAAACAGCAGAACCACTCCTGTAAATCTGTGCTTCTTGGTTTTTTTTTGTTTGCCTCATCCACATCTTAAGAACTTATGAATTAATTTCTTTTTTTGAGGTAAAGTCACAAGGGGTAAAATGTGGGGCATTGTTCAAGCAGAATGAGTAGCATTGTCACATGATTCATGTTGGAAAGTGCTGCTTACTCAGTGCTATGCTGGTGAGAGCGTTGTGGCAGTGCACAAGCCATTTACCCTTGTTCCACAAATTGAGGTTATTTTCTGTTAGCTATATTGTAATATCTTGGATATTTCAGTGTAAAAATGCTGACTGACTGTTGAAAAGTGTTTAAAAAGCACAAACCATTTGATATAATGAACTCATAGTTGGAACTGAAGTTTATGCACACCTTGTTGTTTTGCGTCCACTTTTACAAAACTGTCATGGAAAGTGATGGAGGCTCATGATGAAGCACTGAGTAGTCATATGCAATGATATTACATCCCCTCTCAACTCGTTGAAAAAAAGTCTCATCATTTTTTTATCTTCTCTGGTACGGTAGGAACACACGTTAGAAGACATCCAGGTTTTGTACCGCATCTTTGTTGTGCTTAGATCTGATAGTGGGCATAGTGGATGCCATAATTCAATATAAACGAATCTCTTTTTTTGTTATCATTATTTTTCACCTTGTGACATGGCCGTTTATCGTGTCGTTTATGTACGAAGACCTAAAAGCATATGTATGCTGTACAGTGCTGGCCTAGGCCATGCTAACTCCGTCCATTTGTTTAATACATATCTGGCATTTTTGTAGCTGTGATGGCTGCACCAAATACCAGAGGAACTCCTAAATATTGTGTTTAGGCATTCCACTTGGCAATGTGTTTGTTAGCCAAATGAGGAATCTCAGAGATAGCTGCCGGAGCAGCATTGTTTTACATCAGATGTAATTCTTTCTGTTGCACATTCCATTTTAAAGCTGTTTGTTGATTTTGAGTCTTGCCTAATATTACAGTATGTGCATAGTTTTCTGATGCAAAGCATGTTCTTTTATCTGTTTGTGTATACATGTGTGCATGTGTGTATGCATGTGTTGAATGAACACGGGCCTCTTGGCATTTCTGCAACTGATGATGCCACCTAAAATGATTACACACACATCGCTCATAGTACAGAAAATCATCTGCATCCAGTTCCATGCAGAGCATACTAATTTTTGTCAGTTGCTCTCGGGGTCCCTGTGTCATATTTTTGTCTTGAAACGGGAGTATGCACGGGCAACTGTTTGTGTAAAGCTTACTAGTAAAAACCTCATGCCATTCTTGTGATTCATAATTCTACCTTGTTATATTAAACTAATGTTGTTGAAGTAAGACTGGTAAGACAGTAAAAGCAGGCGTTTTATTGTTAGAAATATTATTTACAATATGCCATAAATCATGCATAATTTCATGGCTTGACCCTGGCTGCAGTGGCAGTGAACGAATAGGGACTGCATCTAACAATTCAGATTTAGTATGTATCAGGTGCACATGAGACAAGTTCCAGGTGGTCAAAATTAAACTTGAGTGTGCCACTTTGGTGTGCTTCATAATCAGAATGAGGTTCTAGAAAAAAAAAAAAGAAACCCTAACAATTTATGTACACATCTCAGTTGTATTAATATATTTTGCCCTGTTAAATGATGCAATTAGGGGACATACATAGCTGGTTGCTTGTTATATATACACAGTGCTTGTCATCATTACTGAAGTCTTCAATCAAGAATGAAAAAAGTTTACTGTGCACTTCTTTTTGTAAGCTTGACAGTTTGCATGGGAAAACTCGCAAATATGTCTTCATATATGACATGTTTCCAGTTCTGGTTGTTTATATGCATGTGCAGGCAAATGTTGCTTCAATTTGGAGGTGTACACCTGCTTGTATTGTACAGTAGGTCGGTGCCTTGTGGAACAGGGTGTGTGGTGGCACAAGAGTGAGTAGTGCACAGACTGAAGAATATACTTAATGCAATAGAGTACCTGTTAAGCAGTCCTGCTTGTCTATAAAAATTAGTATCACTTATTGTGGTTGAAAGAATATGATGAGGTAGTGTTAGTGATCACTGTTGCTCACTTGGTCATTATGTGTGTAGTTTTATGGAATGCACTGTGCAAAATTTACATTCTTGCCTGTGAGGAAAGGTTAAGTGCATTCTAGGTTTTGGATACGTGTGAGTGTAGCTGTACCTTTGTATTTGTAGATTACGTGCACCTTTTGATACCACAGTGATACCATGATGCAACAGCAACACTTTGTCATATGATGAGTGCTCAGGTATTAAGTGAAATGTGACAAAGGCACTGGTAGTAAATAACCAAGGGTAATATGCTTTTGGCATGTTGATATTTTTGTGAGAGTAAATAATGTACTTTATTAAGAAACCTGTGAATTTCATCACATGTTTTAGTTTTCGATATTCATATGCATGATATTTTGTAAGCAGAAGCATTCAACATGTGTGCTTATAATGGCTGTAACTTTTGTCCAGTAAGGTGCTTTTTGTAATACTTTGAGTTTACTGACATCACAAATAGTAACTGACATGAATTCTCTTATTGGAGTGTACGATATTTTGCATCATCATCTGCTACTGATTATGTGCCATGCAGAATTTTGATGTAAGCTTGTATGCCAACCAAGTGCAGTCTACTTTTTTTCGGAGAGCTTAGATGTATTTTTGAAAAGTGTTTGCTTCAAGAGTGAAGCATGTTTTTTATACCTCGCGTAGGATTTTTTTTACTACAGCCAGTTGCAACCATTTATCCAAATGAACTATCCCCGTGAAAAAAATTTCTGAGTAATCTGCTGTTCCGACACTTTGTATGACTGAATTAACTTGGTCATCTTTACTATGTATTGAATTTAGGGTTTCCCTTCTGCTCCTCGATTTACACATTGCCCTCATTGAATGCTTTTATTTGCATAACAAATGTGGTACTAATTAGTGACATAGTATGTTCAGTGTCACTTGCACTTGTTTCAAAATTTTGCCCTTGATGGCTTCTAGTGTTGTCCCATAATTTTGTGCAAAGACAAATGTTTTGTTACATGGTATAAAAATCTGTTTTAATTAAATAGATCAGCTTTGCAATGACAAACTCAGCTTTTGTGTTGATTAGGTACAATGCGCCTTCAGTTCATGAAGTTGTAATGAAGTCATGGCTCACAGTTTTATAACCCTAGCTGCATACTTGAGTCTTAATGCCTGGTAGCTACTTCATGAATTATGAACAGGCACATTTGGTTGTGGCAGCTGCTTGTGGTACATTGTACCTTCTTCTGTTATTGCCCCAAATGGTTTCTCTGCTGTAACATTGTCATGTGAAAAACGTCTGCTTCAAATAACAGTTCTTTAATACACATACATTTTTATATTTTAGCCAAACTTTATTAACATTAACAGAATTTTCATTGCAACGAGGCACCATTGAATTAGAAACAGATCTCGCACTGCCTGATGACACTGTTGTATGAAAATAAACCAAGCAGACTGATGGTATGTTTTCGAGGCACTATACAGCCATTCCATTTTTACATTTGTGCTGGAATTTTCATTTTTAAGCTCACATGTATTATATATCTAAGGTCTCTATGAACTCAGATTTTTATAGAGCTGTTACCTGGTTGCCATTTTGGCATCACCCGTCCAGAATTGTGCCTTTGACAGCTGTACAATAAATTTGTGTTGCATTCATGCTAGAATGCTTTTTCTGCTTTTTTTTTTGTTCTTCAATAGTATCTATTTGACATGACAGCTATAGACGCTCTTGTAAGGGTTGCTAGCATGCCAATCTTCTCCCGGCTACTTAGTGGCAGTTCAAAAAACAGCTCTTATAGAGTCTATGTATGCCATAGACTCACATTCTCTATTTTGTAAAAGTGCTTGGTGTAAAACAGTTCTTAAAGTAGCCTAAATAGTTGTCTCAGTATATCATAAAATTTCTTGCGTGAAGTGGTTAAAATATGGATCACAGCCAATTCAGTGCAAGAAAATGGTCTGGTCGAATAACATGTAAAAGGGCCTCTAAACTTCAAACGTGATCCTGTAAAGCTTCTTGAGTGAGTTGGTCATTACATATTGAAGCTATTATAGTGCAAAAAAAAAATTGGCACTGCCTTGTCCTTTTTTGGTGAATGCTTTTTTATTCTCTGTATTGGCTACAATGCTAAATGCACTAATTTTAAAACCTGCTTGTCTTTTTTTTAATTAAAAGTCATGTATAGTTATATTGGTTTGCCATTGAGGCCATATCCCGTCTGACATGGCACTTATGTTTTAGGCATTGACGTCATTAATGAGCACAGTTGTACATCTTTGAAGTTGAGTAGCTCACCAGTACTCACTGGAGATGTTGATTATTCACCGAATTTCCGTTTAAGGAGTATTTGTTGAAATAAATTTGTCAACCTATCTTCAAGGTTAGGAGTATCAATAAATTGAAGTGCCTTTTTCCCATGCTGTCATTTGGTGAGCTTCTTTGCCAGATGCAAGCATATCATCATGCCCTAGAGGTGGTGCGATGGTTTTACAGCAATGCTGTATATGGCTAAGGCTAATTGTGTGCGAGCAAAAAACCCTTGCATCTGGGAGCAGTGGAAGAACAAGTGTAGCTGAACTATTTTGAAGGAGACATTTTGAAGCGTCACACCTTTCTGAGTTAGAATAGTTTCGCTAGTGCATGACACTGCACAAGTTGCGTGCCGCAAACATTTTTGGAATCTGTCAAGTACGAACGAAGGTAAGAGAGATTTGTCACCCGGTTCAAGCGCTTACTTTCTCTCTCCTTTCGTATTGGCGAGCGCGCTGAAATCTACACAGACAGGGGAATGACCAAGGAGCAAGAAAATGCGTCGTTTCGTCAGCTCATGTTATGACCTGAAGCAGTTTCTTGACCTTTTTTTTTTCTTCGAGCGCGCAGCTAATGCGAAATGCTTTCATCGCGAGTAGGTGGGCACGTGGTGGCTTCTCTCGGAGGCCACAGTAACTACACAGCCCGCGATGCTCGTATCGGCCGATGGCCTTGAATTTGGATATATATGGCATCATTTGTAGAGAGAAGATTGGGGGACAGGTTTCTAGCTGACTTCCAAATTGTAAATTTCAGGCCGCGTGTAGCGCTGTAAAGTTTAGCTCGCGTGTTCTCTGGAGCTTCGACTACTAGCCGGCAGTGTTTTTGACCATGCTCAATAAATGTTGCTCGGCCCCGTTCATAAAGTCGAACCCAGCTGGCAAAGTAGGCTTGCGCCGGGTTCTCCTCCAGGGGGGGGGGGGGAGGCAAGTTTCATCGCAGGTATGCCCCCTATTAAGTTACATGGGGCATGCTTGGCACACCCTCTTTCCTGGGGTAACTATTAGGGGGATGGGCTGCTGACCCTCTCTCCTCATCGCGCACTCCGGATGCCTGGTACCCTATGTGGAATAGCGGAGCGAACGAATGCGTTAGAGTGGACACATTTTTTTTTACCGTGATGGGGTTTGAACCCGGGCCTCCCTCACTGAAGGTGTCTTAACCACTGCTACTCACCTGCGCTTGCAAAATGTGAGCATATCTGAACCAGTGATGAATGCCCCGTATTTTCGAATAGCAAAATGGCCAAGAGAACAAAATGAAAAGTGTACACAGTGGCGTACCAACTCCGCGAGTGCGGGGAGGGGGGGGGGCAAACCTATCTTACGTACTCGTCAGCATTTGTATATATATATATATATATATATATATATATATATATATATATATATATATATATATTTGACGCCCCGCCGTGGTGGTCTAGTGGCTAAGGTACTCGGCTGCTGACCCGCAGGTCGCGGGTTCAAATCCCGGCTGCGGCGGCTGCATTTCCGGTGGAGGCGGAAATGTTGTAGGCCCGTGTGCTCAGATTTGGGTGCACGTTAAAGAACCCCAGGTGGTCGAAATTTCCGGAGCCCTCCACTACGGCGTCTCTCATAATCATATGGTGGCGTTGGGACGTTAAACCGCACATATCAATCAATTGTATTTGAAACGGGTTGTTGAACAAACAGGAGTTGACTCGGCAAACGAGAGCTTTATTTAGCGCAAGGGATAACTGAATGCAAGCCTGCGATCACAGCGCGTCTTCTTCTTCTTCCTCTACTCGAGCTTCGTGTCCACTACTACCCTCGTTACAATCACCCCCGGGCGATGAGGAGCTGTCCTGGCGACCTAAAAAATTGCCCGCAGCTTCTTTCGGGGGAACACTGAGGAGGATGCGGAGCATATAATTGGTTAACGGGGTGTTAAAGTGCGACTTACTTGGGTCGATGGCTAAATTGGTTAACGTGGTTGTGAAATGGGGTGTTAAATTGCGACTTACTAGGGTCGCTGGCTGAATTGGTTAACGTGGTTGTAGGAGGGGTGTTAAATGAGTGAACACGTACGACACGTATGCGAAAGGGCGGTGTTTATTGCGACGAACTTTGAGCACGATGGCTTTTAGATGCCACTTTGGCCGGCGCTGGTCGAAGGGACGTCGATCATTGCGACCTCGGACGTCGACGCGCCGTACAAACCAACCGACGAGCGGCAACTGAGCGAGCGAGCACCGACCTTGAGTATATATACAGCGCGCCGGCGCATGCACTGTCAGCTGTCGAATGTTCTAGAAGGGGGAGAAGCGCAACGGCGCATGCGCGCGCGTCAGCTGCCGATGTTCTCGAAGCGTGACGGCGCATGCGCGCTACATTATACAGCTAGCGAATGTTCGTGAAGAGGAGAAGCGCACGCGGTGTGTAGAGGAGGAAGGGTGCACAGATGGTGGAGGAGTGAAGCGCGCGCGGTGTGTAGAGGAGGAAGGGATGCACAGATGGTGGAAGAAGGAGGAGGAAGCTTGCGGACGGCGCCGCACTACAAGCCTCGAGTATTAGATGCCCCGCATCTAAAACAGGTGTACACAGAAGGGTCTTGGAATGGCTTGAGCCGAGAGATGCGTACGATTTCTTGTCCCCGACGCCGCTTGTCCGAAGATGCACAAGGTAGTTGACTGGGGATGTTTGGCGTACAACTCGATAGGGACCATGGTACCTGGACGAAAGCTTGTGGGAGAGTCCTGGAGGAGTAGAAGGAATTTATAGCCACACCAGTGAGTTCGGAGCAAAGCTCATAGGCGTGGTTGACGCGTCGTGGCGGTGTTTTTGTCGCGTCTGGTCGGTTGACGTGAACGCACGAGCAAGCTTCCGGCATTCTTCAGCGTGTGCTGCTGCTCGAGAAACGGTTGTCAACTCTGAAGGGTCCGGTCGATAAGGAAGAATGATATCCATTGTTGATGATGGCTCGCGTTCATAAAGAAGGAAGAAAGGCGAAAATCTAGTGGTGCTTTGCGTTGCAGTGTTGTAGGCATATGTCACAAAAGGCAGCATGCTATCCCAATTGGACTCGTCGGATGAAGCGTACATGGCCAGCATATCTGCAAGTGTACGATTAAAACGCTCTGTCATCCCATTAGTTTGCGGGTGATAGGCTGTGGCAGTGCGGTGTATGATGCGACACTCGCTAACAACGCTTTGATGGCATCGGAGAGAAAAACGGGGCCGCGGTTGCTTAATAGCTCCCGAGGTGCTCCATGCCTTAAAACCAGGTTTTGCAGTATAAAACATGCAACGTCTTTTGCGGTAGCAGAAGGTAACGCAGCTGTTTCAGCGTACCGCGTTAGGTAGTCGATAGCGACAATGACCCAGCGGTTGCTACTCGAAGTATAGGGAAGCGGACCGTAAAGGTCGATTCCGACACGATCGAAAGCTCGTGTTGGACACGGCAACGGCTGCAAGGGACCTGTGGCATGTTGAGCGGGCATTTTGCCTCGCTGGCACGTAAGGCAAGACCTTACGTAATGGCGAACAAAACGGCACATACCGCGCCAGTAGTACCGCAGCTGCAAGCGAGTGTATGTTTTTAACACACCAGCGTGGCCACGTTGCGGATCATCGTGGAACGTGGCGCAGATGCCAGAGCGCAGATGTCGGGGAATGACGAGCAACCACTTACGGCCGATCGAGCTGCAGTTTCGGCGGTAAAGCACGTTATCCCGAATAGCGAATTGTCGTGCTTGACGGTGAAGCGTCCTGGAAACTGGAGCGGGCGTCCGGTTTGAGAAAGAGTCCAAAAGGGAAGAAATCCAAGCGTCTTTGCATTGCTCGGAAGGCATGTCCGAAATGCTGATGGCCAAGGCAGTACTGGTGCACAGATAGGTGAGCTGACAGGCTCTGAAGCCAACGGCGAACGTGACAGGGCATGGGCGTCGGAATGCTTCCGGCCAGAACGGTAGATAACACGGATATCGAACTCCTGTAACCGCAATGCCCAATGAGCAAGCCGACCATTAGGATCTTTTAGTGAAGATAACCAGCAATCGCACTGTGGTCTGTCACAATATCAAACGGACGTCCATATAAATAAGGCCGAAATTTTCCGATTGCCCAAATAATGACACTCCTTTTCAGTTACGCTGTAATTCTTCTCGGCTTTACTGGTGCGGCTGGCATAGGCAACGACGTACTCGTCAAAGCCATCTCTGCGTTGGGTCAGTATGGCGCCTAGTCCGACACCACAAGCGTCCGTATGAAGCTCCGTTGGAGCAGACGGATCGAAATGTCGGAGTATGGGAGGCGTAGAGAAGCCGTCGGAGTTCCTAAAATGCATTTTCACATGCCTGCGACCACGCTGACAAATCAGAACTTCCGGCAAAAAGATTGG